TTCTAGAATTTTTTGTAAGTATTAACACTATCTTTCGATTTGAAAACTAAAAAAATTATTAAAAATTAATTTTGTAGTTATTATAATTAGTATCTACTCTGAGTAATTAATTCTTTGAATCAAAGAATTTCTTTACCTTTATTACTGTTTAATATTTTTTTTTTAGTTGAATAAAAAAAACTATGTATAATAGTTAAATATTTGTGATTAAAAAAATCAATAAATATTCAATAAAATGTTTATTTCAATCAACTCAAATATTTTATATTATATTAAAAATTATTTTTTGTCTCATTTTATTTTACTCAATACTTGCTGTGATAAAAAAATGCAGGTAATCTTATTTATTGGTTATCTCTAAGAAATAAATTTTTTTAATTTATAATGAATAGTTATTTATTAAATATTATTAATTAATCGTTTTACAAGAATTTATACTAAGCATAATAACCGCTACAAGACTTCTTCGCTTCTTATCAAAGGCTATGCAGTTACCGACGAAAAAAGTCCTTGGAAATACTGACGGGGTACTACACTTAAACTGTATCGGGGTAAGGATCACGCCAATGAATGAGCCATTAATGACCGATTGTGTAACACAAAACAAAGTGAAAATGTTAAGTTATTGTTTATTCTAAGAAAATCGGTAATTTTATATTTTTATCGAACATACAGAAGTAAACATAATCTTGCTAAAGTTAAACATTAGATCAATAATTTCTACGAGTATTTGTATCTAATAAATTTTTGAAAGAAGTTTCTACCAGTTAGTTTAAAGTAGTGTTTTTACTCAATTTTTTTTATAAATAAATGAAAGTTCCATTGATTATTTAAATTACTGACAAGTATCATAAAAAGTTTGTTAAATTAATATTAATAATTAGATAAAGCGACGTGTATTTTCTAATAAAATTTAATGTTAATGTATTTAGCACAAATGCAATTTATTTAATTGAATTATTCATGTCATTGGCATGATTTGCTTTTCTTATTTTTCTCCGAATATTATTGCTCTCTATAGTCATATATATGCGCCAGTAGCTTTGGCTCTCTATACGCTTAGACACTAAAGCTGCCCAGAGATTTATGTAAAAAAAATCGTAAATTCGTTCCACGCTTTGGAATCTAATAGAGTCAAGCGCGTGATTCAAGTGAAGCTCGGGAGTAAGGAAAGGATAAAAAAGGAGTGAGACGTAATAAAGAGGTGGATGAGAAAGATAAAAAACGCGTGTCTTCTCGTATCCCCCTTTCCATCCTCTTGTCAGTCAAGCGTTATAATATCCTGTCCACCGGACATATCCCTATCCTTCTCTTTCTCATATCTTATTTTATTTTAGGTCAAACATTGCCGTGGTACGCGCCAGCGCATAACTTCGTGAAAACAACATAAAAATCTCGGATGTGTTTCGGGGTATTCTGACACTGCGACTTGCGCTTAGTGGTGGTGCGTTACGAAGGGTATGAGAAGAATACAGTCCGAGGCGAATGAAGGGTCAGCACTGGAGCGTGCGACCATTTTCATCGCACCCCAGCCTCGAGAAATTCTTTACTTACGAATATATTCGAAGATTTCGCGAGATTCTTATTTACGCATCGATGCGCGAGTTATATGATGCGAACGGAATTTCTATTGCTGTTTCTTCAAGGAAGCTGACGATTTTACGTGTTTTGCATCTTGGTCATCTCTTTAAGTGTCTCCTCTTGAAAAAAAAAAAAAAAAAAAAGAAAAAAAAAATCACAAAGTTGGACACATAGTTAGTTTTCACTGGAAATTTTTTTTTGTAAATTTGAAATTCTTGCGATCTTGGCAGCTCCTCACAAACCAGCTTTTATTAACATCGCGCATTCGCCGAAGCCAAAGGAACAATGACCCTCTATTTTTTGTAAAAAGTATACAAGCATGGCTGCAAGTCCAATTACGGCTTATTTAATCAGCACTCGAGCGCCCTGCTGTTCCGTCAGCAAAAGCCGCGCCAAGAGCTGTGATTAAAAAAGCCGATCAATTATTAACGCGAGGGATCTCCGGTCTAATAAGTCTCGACTCCTCAGAATCCTCGCGGAAATTTTTCTCTCGGCTAATGCCACTGTTGTGCGCGATACACAAGAGCGAAGGAGGTTTGGGGAGGGGTGGCATAAGCATAATTATCCAGGGAAGGAAGCCCCCTTTGTGTTGGTGGCGTTGTGGAGTTCGCGAGGGACGCGCAAAATAAAGAAAAAAAGAAAAAGGGAAATAAAGCAACGAGAGGCATCAGGCCTGCAAGAAAGAGAGAGAGAGAGAGAGAGAGAGAGTCGCGTGAAAGGTCGGCCGGGACAGTTTTTCCTTCCCTCGGTCCTCCTTGCCAATCGTAAATGTTTAATATCGTGATTAAAGGCGTGGCGTCAGCGCCTCGTTATTATTTCAGTCCGACGACGACATCCCTGATCCTCCTGCGTTTTTCTATTCTCGTTTCTCGTCCTTTTCTGCTCGTTTATGCCCCCCTCCCCCCCTTCTTCACTCCAGGATTTCTTTTAAGAGGTAAGAAAAATCTTTCTCTAAAATTAGCTGGCTAAATATTTAACGCTTGTTGCTGTGCGCGCGTGAGATGCATCTTGAATGAAAATTAGATGCAACAAAAGAGCGAGTCGAGCGCTCCCAAGTTGGAACCAAATGCAGAGACTCGCTGTCTGCATATCTTCTCGTTCTATTGTCTATTCTTTTTCCATCTGATGGATTTCAGAGTTGGGTGCTCTTTCTTTTTATGTCGTGGTGTTCGTTTTCGCGCGGTGTTCACCTTAGAGTCGCTACTTCATTGTTGTACCAGAGGAAAACGCTGAATAGGGTGCGCGCAAGGGGAAACGCTGGTTGGGATATTTTGTTTACGATCGTTTGCTTAACGAAAAAAATAGGAGGACAAAAACTCTGTTGGTGGAGAGCAGTGATATTTTTGTGGAAAGACGCAATTTTTTTTTTAATACTCAACTCTTCTATGACATGACTCATGTGAGATATGGAGGGTCGAAATATAAATACTTTGAGTAGAATAAACGAGTCTACTGTTAAGGGAATTGTACGCAGTGCACGGTATTTTTTTTATTTGTGTTTTTTTGTTGATTTCAAAACAACATTTTTATTCGACAAATTTTTGTAGAAAATCATAAAGAAGCTTTTGCTTATGTCAATTTAATGTAGATTTATGCACAGTAAGAAATACAATGATATACAATACAACTAACCGTGTACTGATGATAAAAGCTAACTTTGAAAAATCAACATGTGGGACGTAATGAGGCATGACTTGATCGATGATTGCGATTAGTCTTTTTTTTCTTGTATTTTCACGAAAAAGCAATCCCGTAATAAGCGAATCAATTTTTTTTGTCAAAAAGACGATTTCCTCGAATAAAAATCGCCTCGCTCGCACCGAGCTGTAATCACTTTCAGCCTCTATCGATCAATATATTTCTCGTATTCATCTTTGACGTTACATGAAATAATATTGAAATTTTCTGGCCCACGATGATGTCACCTTCATGTATCGAGCAAAAAAAGGGGAGCAGTCGTGTCGCCTGTAAAAAAATCATTTTTCCATGACCACGAGATCGTATCGTCTGTTGACACTGGCCAAATCGAGGACCAAATTACCGAGGCTAGTAATATCGATGCCAGCCAACGGGGACCGAAATGCTCTTCTGTCTCTTTCCTGTCTCCGTTTGTTTTGCCTTTCCAGCAATTTATCATCCATTGTCCGGCGACGTGTAAGCACGCGTGTTCGTCTGTCTCTTTCGCTTTATTTGTTTTCCAACCACCCGATCGTTATTTATGACTTCAAGACTTACTGATGAATTTCCTTGGCTCAGCATCTCAAAGCTGCATTTTAAAAACAATTCTTTACACAATTTGCTACCAACAAAACATACGCATTTTTGCCTGGAAAAAATTTCAGATAAAAAAAAACATCTCACTGTTTCAAACAACAAGTATAAATATCTCGATGAATTTATAATCACATGCGTTTCGAAATCAATGAATTCAGCAGGATAGTGGTTAATTATTTTCCTTTACCAACATCCACTGTACTCTGAGAACCCTCGACTTTATGAATTTTCATCGTTTCAGTTTTTTCCCTCCCAATCCTCGTCCGTCCGACTCATCCTTCGTCAACATAGTATCACGACCGGCGATCCTACACACACACACACAAATATATATATACGTGTCGAAGGTAGGGGATGGACGAAAATTCAGTAATTCGATAAATCTATCTCAGAGACGTTGTCGACTTTCGCGCGTCACCGTGGAAAATAGTCCGTCCCTGGTCCTTTCCTCTGCGTAAAGTGATTTCCATTTCTTTTTCTTCTTCGCGATGCTAGCTGCTCCCTCCCAGACTCGTGCGAGAAAATCGCATTTGTAATGCTTATGGGTGTTGCAAACATCTTCCGCAACGTGCTGTGAAATCGCTTTACCGAAGAGCAGAGAATAGGATTATTAAATTTGAACCTTCCCCGCGGCTCTGTCTTTTATTTTCGACAAGGACTTTGAGAAATGCGATTTACATTCGGCAAGCGAGCTGCTACGGAGATTTGCGCTGATGAGCCACTTGACTGAGGTGTGGGAGCGAGAATTTGAATTCACGTGTGCGGTAAAGAGATAAGGTCTTTGGAATAAAACCATCGATATGAAATCATTGGCATATCTATATCATGAAACGTTTAGCTTATAAATAGTATCAATACAGTTACCAAATAATATTCTACTAGACTAGACATCCAGTTATTCACATACTTTTTTCGCTATTTACTGAAAATTATCACTCATCAGTCCTTACTTTCAGACATAAATATAACATCATACATCGACTAAATTTGTTGTTAGCCTCTCATTTTTCTGATCTTAAATAATATTTAAATAAAAGCAGGGTAGATAACAAAAAATAATAACATTTATAGTGCAAATCAATAAAAAATATACTTTATTTAGACGAAGAGACGATGATGTAAAGTAGTGAACTTACGATTTATGTTTATTGTACACGACTTTCGTAACTATCAATTTCATCACCTATCCAATCAATAAAACTAGATACTCTTGTATATACGTCAGGATATCCCATAGCGCAGGGAACACCAAAAGAAACAATGCCTATTTGTTGTCCATCGACGACAAGAGGACCACCTGAGTCACCCTGAAAAATCAAACAGTATTTTTAATTTTCCTCGCCTACAAGTAAAATGTGCTACTTTATAGTTCTCTAGAGCTAGGAGTGGTTAAGATTTTGTAGACAGATATGATATGTTGAGCGCGTTATCTTATAAGTAAAATGGTCCACATAGAATCCAAAAAATTATTTGCTTTTTTTCGCTAAAAATTAATTTTTATAGAAATGAAATTAATTATAATAAAAAACTTACGTTGCATGTGCCTTCTCCGTACTTGTTAAGAGTGCAGACGTGTGATTGCCTTATGACTACCATAGTTTTCAACAAATTTTGACATTTGTTTTGATCGATTACCTTAAGAGAAATCTCTTGTAGAGTGTTAGGACTCTGTGCCCACGACTACTTGAAATAATTTATTTTAGAATACTTTTGAAATTACTTGAAAAACAAGAAAATATTTTATCATTACCGAAAGTCTGCCCCATCCAGTCAAATTAGCTGAACGATTGTCCAAACTAAAATCTTTAGCTAAACTGACATATTGCACTTTGTCATCAAATATGATATCACGATCGACGCGAATCAATCCTATGTCGTTGATTAATAATGTATTGCCATCATAGTATTTGTGATAAACGATGTATTCCGAATTATAAATTTTTTCGTGGCCTCCTTCAAGCAAGTTTGTACCAGCAACAACAGAAATAAATGTACTCCTAAAATATCAGTACAAAGTGCATTGAAATAATACGTGGTTTGTTACTTGCTACAGTCGAATAAAATAAAAATTTTGAAACCCATTTTTATTTAACATGTGACATGATTGTATGAAATTTTGATTAACACATATGTATGTAAATATACTGTGTGATTTAATAAATTAATAGTAAAATTTCGGATAGAAAATTAAAAATCTATTAAGAACACGTACCCTACGACACAGTGTGCAGCCGTTAATATCCAGCGCTTATTGATGATCGATCCTCCACATAAGTGATCCATTGTTAGTGGATCCCTTAGAGATACTTGGTATGGATATTTGCCATCGGGAGCATCTGTTCCCCCAACAACTCTTGGAGCAGCTGTAATAAAAGATTCGCCTATTACTTTATAATAATTTTGACGTTGGTTAATGAAATGGACTTTAAGATGAAATAAGTCAAGTTTGAGTAATTTTTCAGATTTCATTGGAATTTGGCATAAACTTCCAGCATATAAACGCCCTTTCAGTAGCATCATTAAATTTTTGTGGCTTTTTTTTTTACTTAAAAATTATTAGTTTTTCAGTTTTAATATTAGCTTAGGTTAACTACTTCGAACTTGAAGAGCGCATCGTGTTGCGATTATATCTCGAAAATGTGTCATGACTTCATAAGTGATTGGCTTATCAAAATTAAAGTATAAATTAATATATTAACAAATAAACAGCTAATGAAGTACAAAAAATAGACGGATGAATAATTAAATACGAAGAACAAAGTAGTACCCAATCCCGAGACAAGAATGTGGCATGTTAAAATTGAACAAAAACGATTTTGGTAGTTTTGAACTAATAATTTGACTTACCAAAAGTTGCTGTGGCAAGGCACAGTGTGACTGCAGCAATAATTAGCTTCATTCTTGCTACTGATCCGAAATGGGTTTGATTGAGTAATAAGTCTACTTTAAAATTTGATGCTGATTTATACTTTTTCTATAATCTTGATTACGTAAATATGTCACCAAGACATACTATTGAGAGAATGTAATTCGATAAGAAAGTACGTTAATGTAAATAATCAGATTTTGCTGCAGAGATTTATTGATAACGAGATTAAAATTATGATTTATTTTACGTTATATTATAAATACCTAACCTTAAAGCACTGCTAATATAATATAATATAATTATAGAGATTCTTTTGTCTGTAAGTTTGGTAAAATTTTTGTAGTAAAAATTTAATAATTTTTAGTAATCTTTGTCTTTTGTACTGTAGTGAAGCTGATCGGATAGTTGAGAAGTATTTTAATTACGTGTAGTGGGTAATTTTTCTAATTTTTGACGCTTTAGCAAAATTCAGTTGAATCCTTGGTGTTTAAGTAAATCGATAAACTTTTTGTATTTAATTATCTGATGATTCGAGAAATAAAGTAAAAGTACGCAAGTCTGTGTACGGTATGCAATGATAACGTTGATTGTATGGATTGATGTGGCTCTATTTTTAAAAATTGAGGAATTGAAATTAAAGCGATCTTTAATTTGAAGCTTAAGCCAAATCGCGATCATAATTGAATTATACATCAATTACAGTTTGTGCTTTAAAAAAAATAGACGTTTTACAACTCATTATTAGCTCTTAATAAATATCTCACAATTAATAGAAACAATTTCCCTAATTAATAGTTAAGATTCCTTTGTTTAACATAACTATTAATGGATACCACTCACTTCACAATTTAATCTCATCAAGCATACGAACTTACGAATAACCTAAACATAATTAAAAAATTATAACTTTTGCAAAAAGCACATGCATACGAACTGCTTAGTTTACATAATTTTTGCCATGATAGTATAGTAATATACGTTAATAATAAACAAGTATGCCAGATCTTAACTAATGCGTCGGTTCATTAGGTATTTGTAAATCACGTACTAAAGTGAAGTATCCGACTTATTATTACTATACTACTACTAGCCAAATTCTGGAATTACTTCAATAAAGTAGAAATATGTTATTGTTAGCTAAAGTCTGCCCTATTCAACCAAGTTTGCTAAAAGATTTTTCAGACTGTAATTTCTTTTGGTATTTTAGATTTTGAAAAAATGTAGTCTCAAACTCATGTTGGTGTTAAAATCATGTGTTTACTTAACCAAAACTGACGTACCAAACAAAGATAAACTGCAGCGGTTAATATCTTTATTACTGTTAATTTTTCTAATAGTTTGAAACAAATTTCCCCAAATGATACGACTACTGTATGATTTAATACTAATATTTGTACTCGTATAATCTCGACTTCAGAAGCGTGTCGCCAACAAATATTACTGCACAAATAAATTTGATAAAACAGTACGAGAACGAAAGTTATCTGATTTGGCGTAAATATTTATTGATTACGATTTTATTTTACTTTTTTTTCACATGATTGTGTTATTTAAATTAGGGTTGGATATGTACGATAAATACAATATTTTAAATCTAAGGTTTTGTATTTTTTAGTTTTGAAAATCATTGCAACACTAACAATACTACAAACAGCTAAAATTTTCTTTTTCTTTTGTAAAAACACTTTATTTGTTCTTAATGAAAACTTTGCAATGGAAGTTGCATGAAATTGCATCAGTGCATCAGTGTACAATTTTTGCACTGAACTGATTACTATGTCCATTACAACACAAATAAATGTAATCTTTTAAAATTAATATTGTTTTTTAGGTAGGGTTTCATCATTTTACATTTCATATTCGTTGCGTAGAAGATAATTATACTAATAATTGCCTTCCCTTATTTCATTATCATTGTATATTTTAAAAAAACGATTACTTTATGGTATTGTATAATAATGATTACACCAAGCCAACGAAATATTGTATAGAAAGATTTTATCAGGTAACCCATTAATCTTTCTAGAAAATAACATTTTATGAATGACTGTCCCAATACAATCAACTCTAAATAATACTCTTATGATCCCTCAAACAACAAGTTTTTTAAAAGATATGTTATAAATCACTTTACATTAGCATAATTGTCTCGGACAACAATGAGAAAAAAGAGTTAAGTGTAGCGCAAAGCATTAATATTATGTATATGAACGCAAAAGAGGGATAAAACAGGTCCGAAAATAGATGGTGAGAGTATCACTTGAGCGTTGAACAATAATCGAATAAACGCAAATCCCTTAACAGATAGAAAATCAAGTGGCCTTTTGTCTGTCTCTTCTTGAGCGTGAATCTTTGCAGAGTCCGATTATATACGTATATGAACTACTTGTCAGTTAATCTCACCCCAAACAACCAACTCGTGCCTTGAACTTGCTCTAAACGCACGGAATACAAATCACCCCTCGATCACGGTCGCGTACGACATACACCCATTGTTACCGTAAGTATACATCGTCTCGCCTGCTTGTTAGAAAAAAAAATCACGCGCACTGCAAGTTTGGCTCCCAAAAGCGCATCCTAGCGTGGTGATTTTCAGCCCTTAGTCTATATTTTTCGACGGCGTACACAGTCGAGGAAAAAGCGATAGTCATTATACGCGGACAGGGCGTGGTGGTAACGTGAGCGCGACAACAGATGCGATCGTAGTGCCAAAGAGTTGCGAGTGTGCACCTATGCTCACCCGACACCGCACCTCTTTTTACCCATCCTCGATAAACTCTTTTCGAAAATAAGGACCATTTCTCTTTCCCCTTCCTCTCTCTCTCTCTCCTTTTTTATCCGCACCCTTTTTTTTCACCGCCCCTCAGGAAATAAAAGAAAATAAACGCTCCTGCGTAATTCCATTATTGAACGGGTTCTCCTTTTTCTCGCGCTCATACACGCAAGTGACTGTTGCAAAACAATCGGCGTGAACGTCGAGAAAACACGCGCCATGCATGTAAGTATTACGGCACTTGACGCTCTGTGAAGAGGGTGCGAACCGAGCGCGCTTGTATCTGACTTGGCGCAGATGGTGTCGCGAGCTGGTTCCTTTCTTTTTTTTAAAACGATTCTCGCGGCTCGATGAGCCCGCAACAATGTTGACGATGATAATGATTCGGAGGTCGGAGAAGGGGAGGCGCGAGGTGTGATGTTTGCCTGTCGAATTGTCGAGAGCTCGTGTGTACAAATCCGCCTGGCGATTACTAGCTGGTGCCATTGGAACTCGAGTGAGTTTAAGCTTTCGGGTAAATATACTACTGTGCGTTATTAGGCAGCGACGTAATGGTGTTGGATCGTGTACCACTTGCTTGTAAAAAACAAGATTTTCTCGCGTTAAAAAATAGGCCAATTGATTTAGATTGATTTATAAAGTATGTGCATTGATGTTTTATTGGGCCGATAATACAATATTTTGATACCTTTCAAACGAGCGATTTTTAATGATCTTCTAGCTAATATTGTTTTATTGATGCCATCATTAGTTACCATTAAAAATTAGTTGTTGTAGATGAAAATGTCGAGTTGCGTCTCGTTAATTTATGTAAAGTCAGTAGTCGAGTAGCGCTTCAGTCAGTCATTCAAATATATGGTTAAGTTGCTTCATTAAGTCGATGATTTATGCCAATTTTTTTATTTGTTGTAAGTTATGGAATTTTGCATCAGTAAAAAATAAATACCATTTATTCGACAAACAAGTTATACGTTTGGATTTCTCAAGCTCTTCATAGACAAGAGTTAAGGGTTGAAAGTGAACAGTTGACACTTGCCCAAGTTATCTAAAACTTCATTCGAAATCATGAACAGGCTACACCCCACAAGCATAGAGTGGATGAAACAACGCAGACGAGTTTGAAGTAACATAAGGCCGTCACAGTACGAGTAGCTAAATCAAAACAAAGGGTATTGACAGTATAATTTAATATTTATATTTCTCAATACTTGGTGTATTAATTTTTTAAATTATTATCAATTTTGTACGTTTGCTGTTGTGCACAACACAACCAATCAGTCTTAGAGAGTACTTTGAATTTAGGCTGATTTAAGTGAACATCAATTAGGTACATAATAAATAGAAGAAGAGACAAACTTTATCATCACTAATATTTATTCTTATTTTTAAAAATGCAATAATGCATCTAAACTTATGAAATACTTTGAAACATTTAGATAATATACGTTTGAACCAACGCACCAGTGAATCAAGTTTAACTAATTATGGGTGCTTGTAAACGATTGGATTGAAATCACGTGTTAGTATTAAATCTTACTAACAGAAATCTCTGTGTCAATAAATAGTTGTTACATGACAAGAGAGTATTGTTTTACGTACAATTGTATGATAAGTATATGGACGCGTAATGTTAATATTAAAATTTCTTTAATATTTTTGGACAAGACAGTGAGGGGGTCAATTAACAAATGAAACAAGGGAAAGTGGAAAAAAAAGTTTGCTAAGTGTGGGGTTCGAACCCACGCTCCCAGACGGGAACCAGAGCTTAAATCTGGCGCCTTAGACCGCTCGGCCAACCTAGCTTGCGAGGCGTCGGGCATACATATCATAGATTACCCACCCGGTTTGTTAACAGGTAATTCATGATTTTTGCTTTTTGCAACAAATCAAATAAAACTATATACAATATAATATTCGTTTTAAAAAATATTGATACAGTTATATTGTGGGTGAAATCACATATTTCATGAGGGAAAAATTATTTAAATCGACAAATCTTTATCGTAATTCTTAGCGATTTTGTAGGATTAGTAATTAAAAACCATAAACAATTTCTTGTATTGTTTACTAATATTCTTAGACCATGAATACAATTTTATACATGGCATTTCAAGATTTCATTTTCTTCACCTGTAATATAAATAAAGACAGTGACATAATGATAAAATTTTAGTGCATATATTATATTGACGAAATGTAGATTAAACTACGTTTTCCACTAACCAAAAATATGTAGTAAAATCACATCCTGACGCGAATGGGTATCCCTTTTACCGACACAAACCTTGCGATCAATACTTGCACGCTTGTACGATTACATACTGCATTGGTAAGTGTGCTTAATTTGTAACATGTGCTATGCATTGCCATCATCACGCAATCGCAAAGGAATGATTTAAAGTTTAATGGATGATGATTCTAATGCTTCTTGACAAACTTTGTATACATGTTGACCCAACACCATCACTGTAGTAACGATGTGTCTTGTGTTCCTCAATTTTGTTTGCATTTACTCAAAAACATTATCAAAAAACGATACCGCAAGTACATTAACGCATTAAATAAAAGTCGAATAAAATATGCTACTACTACGACCCATTGTTTGGACTTTGATGTGTAGAAATGCATCACACACTATAACTCATGATAATGGACTTATTAATATGATATATCCTACGAGCTGTTCATCAACTGCACTGTTGATCTTATAAATATTCAATCACCGATCACACCTCGCGAGCGGCCAAGGGTAGCGCTTCCAGCCATCAAGTCGATCGCTCGACATTATCGCCATAATTCCCAACAACGTGCGCATAATCAACGTGTTGCAAAAGTGTGAGACGCGTGTGCGCGTTTCAATGGATCGCTATAATACTTGCTTCGAAGATATAATGAGCGTCAAGCCAACGCACGCTCAACCGTGTAATCTCGATTGATTGGAATCACACGGGGAGATAAAGCTGCAAACGGTGTCGTCGCACAGGCACGTGTGTATACCTTCAATAAAAAATGCTTGACTACACGTTGATGCATGATTAAATTCCAAGCATATCTGAATTACATCAGACGCCGCTTCAGGTGATAATACTCGAGAGCGGTTGCTTTTTGCTTTATGTCTGGTGAACTTAAGTTCAATATTTAATTGCTTAGTGAAGATTTTGGCCTCTGTTTTCTTTTAACTTTCGGAAATTTTTCAGTTTTATGTTTTCCAGCTGTACAAAGGTTTTTGAAACATTTTTCACGTTTTTATTTTTAAAAAAGCTGTACCGAGTGCACAACATCATTTTTTCTATTTGCGCCGTACTACTCAGTTTGCATTATTGGTAAAAGAGGACTTTGGCGAGATTTATGCACCTGGAATACAAAATTTCTCTTCGATACACTAATTATTAATGTAAAAACAGAAAATTTTTTACAAACTATGTAAGTAATATAGAAATTGTTTTTGGAATAACGATTTGATTATTGTTTATTAACTCTAATATATCCCATATATATAACATATTTCAATCAAAGGGTTAATTAAAGAGAGTGGAATACTTAAAAACTAATGTATGCATTCCAAATGGACATATTCTCTGGAATTTTTAATTAAACGTTTATTATTTGAATTAACCAAAACCTCGAAAACTTTTAAGAAAAACAAAAGTTAGCAATTAATTTATAAAGGTTTTATTAACTCATCAAAATCCACCACCACATGTGGTGAATAATTTTTACCATCCTAATCCATCCAAATTAAAGACGTACAAAAGAAAAATAATTCCTATACCAACAAGTCGAGCGAAATGATGCGTGCTGTTCCAGTGAGTCGTTCGCATTAATTCCTTAAGAAAAGCTCGCCTGCGTAACCAGCTTAATGGCACGAGGAAGAAAGTTCGAAAGTCTTGGGAGTCCGAGACAAATGGTTTCCGTTTCCTTTGGCACTCGATTTGCGTATAATTCGATCTGCTCTCGCTGCTTTGAAATGCTGAAAGTTAATGTGACGACGGCCTTTTCTTTGGGTAGCGATCGTTTTTCCAGAAGTGGATAATTTATCAAGCAGTGTCGCAAGGAAGAGCTTTATCAGGTTTCTAGTTGATTTTTTTTTTCCTGACTACATTTCCATAAGAAATTAACAATTGGTAATTTACCGGGTTGATGAAAGTAAAACATTCAACAGTGAGTGCCTGTAGTTAGCTGAGAAAAAAATACAAATTCTTGGCTATCAACACAGCTTCATCATTGTTATAAAAATTGAGGTTAAATATTAACTTTGTGCCAAAAGTAAATTACTTTTCCAAATTATCCATACTTTCATCATCAAACGTATTAAACAAATTTTTTTACTTCTAAAGAATATGATGGTTTGGTTCTAGATCATTAGTGCATAGTAACCTTACAAAGTTAGAGAAATTCAGTAAATTGCCACCACACTTTAACGTTGAATTAACAATTAGGTCTTATGATTTCAGACACCAGGGCAACTTGTATCTACGGTGATCATGTATTTATAATTCGATAGTAATTTATAATTATTTCCAACGTTTGAGAATAGAATTTTGTTTTCAGTATGTATAATATCACAATATTAAAACAGTACCTTATATTTATGCAGCTCATCTATGTTTAATGATTTATGCTTTTTTCGATGTTTCCGATTGAACTTTTGATAGCAAGAACACTAACGTGACTTACTACGGGCATAATTATCTCATTAGGCGATTGAAAAAAATACATTGAATAATCAAAAGTGAAAAGTTTTTTATTTTCTTCAGACCGTGACTCCAATCCTAAATTGTCAAGATTAGCAAGTCTGTGCATCTCTAAAATCCGCGTAAACGAGACACGGTTCTTTCAAAAGATTGCGATGACGTCTGCAAAAGTACACGAGAGAAAAAAAAGCCGATCTGCTCAGATCAAAAGGAAATTTTAAAAAAAGTGCACGCAAACATTGGCTAGACGCAAAGCCTGCTCGGTAAAACGAAAAAGAGACGTCCCGAAGGATTTCCTCGGTGGCAATACCCTGTCGTGCAAAGGCAAACGCGCATCTCGGCCAGAAGTAACAATAAAGGGTCCCCACCCAATAGTGAAAAGAGGAGGAGGAAAACGAAAGGATTTAAATCCTTTGACTTTGTGCCCTGCGCATCCGAAGGTTGCGTATTATGCAACGGCAAAAATTGGCTATTTTGTATATACGACGCACGTTATTAGCTCTGGCGTGAAGGGTTGTCGTTTCATGTTCCGGCGGGCAGAGCATTGTTTTCTCGGGGCTGCGCTGTCTTTTATGAGCGTCACATCAAAGTGACGCGTCCGCGCTTGGTGGAAGGGTTACAGAGTGCGCTAAGGTGCACAGCGCGGCTTGACGGTTCGATGCAATTGCTAGCTCATTGATGTCGCTTCTTTTGTGCACTTGGTGCCGATGACCCTGTGGTGCTATGAAGGAGTTGCTTTTTTACTCTTGCTGGCATCCAATTTTTTTTGTTCATGCTGCTTTGAATATCCTTCTGTTGCAGATGTGCTTACTGAGTCGAAAATTTTCTTTTTTGCATATACGTAAAATTCTACAAATTGCTTTTGGAGTCAGGCTGATTGATCAGTTGATTAGCTCTTACATAAAGATTCTACATGACTGTATATTTTTTTAAATTTTAAATGATTTAATAATAATTTTATTGAACAGTTTCCCTGATCAACCATGTTTTTTTTATCTTAAAAAATTCTATTCTCAAGTAATTATTTCTTGAAAACCAACAAATCGGAGGGTAACTTAAAATTGTATTTCAAAACAAAATAGTGGATTTATTTATTTGACAATTTAATTAGTTGCTTTCACTGTAGATTGGATATTCTTGCAATTTCCGTGCTGCTTCCGTAAAAATCAGACATCGTCTTTCGATATATTCATCAATATCCTGGAAAACTTCGATTTCCAAATAGATATTTTTTTTATGTTTAAAAATATACTCATCAGTTTCTATATGTATGTAATCTTAAATATATCATGTTCTATATGTAGAAGCACAGCGTATAAAATTAATATATTATAGTTTACTCACACTTCATTGTTAATAGACGCAGGGTGAGCCCTGACAGCTTGCGCGTGCTCCTGATCGGACTAACCACGCACACGCACGCCAACCGAGGCGAGAGTAACGCGATGGTGAATTTACTAATCAGCGCGAGTTACTGTTGTACTTCTCGTCTTTTAAGATTATTAAAATAAGTGGGTGCAGAAAAAAAAGGGGTGAGGGCTGAAAACGGCAAGCCTTCAAAGTCCTCAAAGGGTTAATTATCTTACGAGATGTTGTTAATAGCTGGCTCGGCTGTCCTAGGGGACCTGCGTAGCACGACTCAGAGAAAACATAATCCCCATTATTGTCGGGCAAAAGATACTTTTCAAAGTTTTTTTTCTATAACGTATAAATGTTTTTCAACTATTTTGGTGGGTGATAAGGTATACACGCTATCAACTGCTGAGATGCATCAAGTGCTTGTAGATCACGCAAAGAATGTAAAATAAAAATTACTTAAAACTCCTAATTCATTTAGTTTACTCGTTTGACTTAATATCGTATAAAAATATATAAAAAATTAATATTACAATGAATTTTAGAGTAAAAAAAATTGCAACTTGATTATTAACTTTCGATATTTTTTAAGTTAGAAAATATGAAAAAAACAGGGTATATTAATTAAAAGACAACTGTAACAAAAATTATGAAACAACTCGTAAAAATACTTTATTTAGTTACAGTAAAATTATTACTAAGTGGCACGTCACTAAACCTAAGGCTAATCATTCGATCATTATAGATTGCTTTCATAACTGTTGATTGTCTCATCTATCCAGCTAACAAAATTAGATATTCTTGTGTAAACGTCTGGATATCCGTATGCGCATGGTACACCGAAGGAAACAAGGCCTATTTGTTCACCATTGACGACAAGAGGACCACCTGAGTCACCCTGAAAAATTAATTAATATTTTACAATCACGTATGAGATTACAGTTCTGTGTGCATTTGAGTCAAAGTCAAGTGACCGTGTAAAGTGCACTGTGTAACAGGGTACTTGGTACTGTACTGGTAGTCTACGAATTATACCAGATCTAGATGATACACTACAAGTATAGTACCAATAATTTACTGATGCTTTCTAAAAATTTTTTAATGATATCAATGCTAGTTAAATAAAATAACTATTACTCATTCTTGTAGTAACTACTTTTGAAACTTAAAAATTTGATTAAGGTAAAATACTTACATTGCATGCTCCTTCTCCTTCCTTGGTAAGAGTACACACGTGTGATTCTTGTATGAGCATCATTTTGTCCCAAAAACTTTTGCATTTCTCTTGATTAAGGATTTTTACAGTTATCTCTTGCAAATTGTTAGGAATTCTTCCTCCATTCTATTATGAATATTATCTTTTAGAACGATTCAGGGATTCATTAAATAATTTGAAAATATTTATTATTACCGAGAGCCTGCCCCATCCAGTCAAATTTGCTGATTCATTGTCTAGACTATAATCTTCTTTTGCCAGTCTGACATGTTGAACTTTGTCACTAAACGTGATATCACGATCAACACGGATTAATCCTATGTCGTTGATTATTTGTTTCATACTGAAATCTTTGTGATGAACGATGTATTCCGATTTGTAAATTTTTCCGTCTTTTCCATCAAGTAAGTTTGTTCCAGCAACAACAGTAATCGATTTTTTTCTAAAAAATTAGTACAAAATGTATTAAAATAATACGTGCTTCGTAACTTGCAATAGTAAAAAAAAAATACACATTTTGAAATCCACTTTCATTCAACATGTTACACGATTGTATACAATTTTTATTTATATATGAATGTAAGTATATACTGAGTGATTCAATAAATTTGTACTAAAATTTTAGATGAATAAAATACTCCTTAAAAAATGTAGAAAATTAAAAATATACTAAGATCACGTACCCTGAGACACAATGTGCAGCCGTTAATATCCAGCGCTTATTGATGATCGATCCTCCACAAAAGTGTGACATCATAAATGGATCCCTTAGAGATACTTGGTATGGATATTTGCCATCGGGAGCATCTGTTCCCCCAACAACTCTTGGGGCAGCTATAATGTAAATTTCATTTATTTTATTAAATTTTTGACATTCGATTTATACATTTTATTAATAGATTACGACACTAATTTACAGTCTTCTTTTTTTTAATTTTAGTTTTTTTTTATATAACAGTTCTTAGTTTTTTAGTTTCAATNTCATACTTGTGTGGTTGTGTGGATAACTTGGTTGTTGATTGAATTAGCTTTCATTATTCAAAAACATTTCAATCGCTAAATTATATGAAACATTTCAAGATCTAATAATTCTAATTGATTGACACATAATTCTTACCTTAATAAATAAATTGAATATCAAGGAAAAATAAAATAGACACTGTGTTACAAAGACCTTTACAAGGACGTAAGATGAAAAGATGAACAAGGTACGCTACTACCATATGACATAAAACATAAACTCGAACAGTAAGTTAACGCCAGCTCAGCATACACCACTCCATACATATTGCTTGGTGAAACCTAACACCACAATGCCAAGTCAAAGATTTCAAAGAACAGTATACTGTAAGTAAAAGCAAATAAGGCCTCTAGACAAAAAGCTGGTTTCTGTCGAACAAAAATTAAATTTATTTGTTTGTAGAACAAATCTACGAGCTTCGCCATTTACTTATAGAAGTTCGGACGTAACACTTGATTGAGAAACAACGAATAATTCTGTAGAATATTAAAACTATAGACTTTGCTTGTACTCCTATTCACCACGGAAGGTTATAAATTATCTTTTTCTTTTTCCTTAATTATTTGACATATTATCACACTGGACAAACTTATGACAAATTTAAACCTTTTTTTTTTATTTAAGGTAATCTGCAACGTATAATAGAAACGAATGTTAATGCAATTAAACCTTTGTATGATTTAAGAAGTTAGTGTACACATTATTTAAATACACATGTATTAATGTTTGAACTGAATTTTTTAATATTACCAATACAATTTTTCAAAATGGAATAGTAATTGAAAAAAAATTTCCTATTTACAAAAGATGTTAATTGATCACAAAACATACATTAAAATGAGATTTAAGAAGTTAGTGTACACATTATTTAAATACACATGTATTAATGTTTGAACTGAATTTTTTAATATTACCAATAGAAATTTTCAAAATGGAATAGTAAAAACTTTCTAAAAATTCAAGGATTCTCTAGCAAAAGGTTTTGGTAAAATATATTTGACAAATGAATTAATATAGACTGAGCGATGTATGTCAACACTTAAACGATACTTTATTGGTAAAGGTCATCAACTGTGATTGCATGTTCATAAAATATTGATATGAAATTTTTTTTTTTCGCATGATAATGTACAGTAGTAATTTCCGTGCCTTGCACACTATTTTGACAAAATTTACTTGATACTTGAAAAGTATTTTCATTGTAGGGTCAATGTTTTTATATACTTTTTCAATGTACTTGTACTTGTTACATGGGTTACTTGAATTGTAAACAACACTTCTATTGTACGTATTACCCACATGAAGTTCATAAAAATTGAATGAAATCATAAACTATTTGCATAAAGTAAAAATATATATTTAATAATGTTAAGTTTACAAATTTAATGACACACATAGGCAAGTAAATTGGTCAATGACGAATATACTGATAGTATTGATTGATGTGATTTTATTTCTTGGAGTTGAAAAACTTTTATCACATCGATCTTTCATTAAATGCGCAAGATGAATCTTAAGTTCCTTAGCTTATTAAACTTTGTTATCGTAAAAGATATAAGTTTCATGAATTACTTTTTAGCTCTTTTTACACATGAGATAAATATTCTCGGAAATAGTTGAGATTCAGTTGATTGGTTACCCTCGCTTGGTAAATTTGTCCCGTAGATACGTCCTAAAAATTGTAAGAAATAATATACAAATACAAAACACTTTTTTTTTTACTATTTAGGATTCACAAAATAATGACAAAATTCCTTACAGTAACCTTCACCCTCAGTCACTACTAATAAATATGCTCTATCGATAATCGTATTAAAAAAAAATAAAAAAGACGATGACTATACTACAGTTTAGCTTGGCTGTCAAAATTATGAGAGCCCACCATGTGAACGAATAAAAACAACTGAGTGTGGTCTGAGCATCGACAAAACGAGAGAAGGAGAGACACTCTTACCCCTAATGGCTCGGAAGTGAAACGAATACAAGCGTGCACGGTTCAGGAGTGCACAATACGTCTGATTCTTTGATTTAGTATCTCTCTTTAACACAGATTAAGGGCTCCTGCGTTCTTTTTTCCCCGCATTCCTCCGATAAAAGTGCGCACGTCAAAGAACTAGCCGCCTCGAAAACGCTGCGTAATTAACGATTATCAGTCTGCGCCGGACGCGCAACCCCTCGTTTCTTTTTTATCCTCCGAGTCCTCCCCCTCTCGTGCTCCCCATAACTTCCGGAGCTTTGATGCTTTCATCCATTGTCGCCATCAGACTCCCTCCGCATCCAGAGGCACGTCTGTTGCTTTCTACGAAACGGAACGGAACGAAATGTTGATTGAAGCAGCTCGAAGCTTTATTTGCGCTCTTTTTGCCTTCTTTCTCTCTTTTGCGGAGCTCTTATCTTTTTCCGTGCGAGAACGCTAATGCAGCAGAGAGATTTTAATTTCTCTGTCTTTCTCTTTTTGCGCGATGCAAACTTTCGTGGTGTTGTGCCTTTTGTTGCGAGTAATGATGCCGTTGATGCTTCATGACCGCTTGTACGACTTTCTAAGAGTCAAATCATGCTTGTTAGTTGTTATTTTTTATTTATATTTTTACCCACCAAAAATTAAAAAACTTTGTAAAAAACTCTTTCATCTGTGTTACTTGATGAATGTAGACAAAAAAATATGCCCGTCAAATGCTCAAGTTTGGGGCAAACAATTTAATTACAGTCGGAGCAACAGAAGTGCGCGTACTTGCAGTTATAAAAAGGTCCGGAGGACAAAGCAAAAATTAATTCCCGAAACGAAGAAGCAGCGGAAAAAGACAAAATGTATGAAAATAAAGGCAGCGGCAGCAGTAGGAAATTGTGCGCCCGTTCGCCTCATTAAAAATCCTATTTCCCGGGCTCGATCCTCACGAAGGCGCGAAATAATGCACGGGGAGATGCTTTGACGCGTCTCATCTTTCGGCGTGGCGCCACGGGGATGGAAACCGAGCGCACAGAATGAAACGCGCCGACGACGTAAGTGCGTCGACTGCTGATTGCCACCCGGAACGCGCGACTGCCTAATATCAATTATCGTTGTCGAGCTAGCAAGAAGACCCCGTAACTTTCTCCTCTTCTACGCTGATCTTGCTCGAAGCTGTTAGTTCCGTCCTTGAGTGCGTGGAAAGTCATTGTCAAAGTTTCATGATTAAGGATCCTGAGGCGGGGCTCACTTGACTTTTTAAAAATAAAAAGTTCTCTTAACAGTTGCGTTACCGGAAGGTTATTTTTTGTTGTTTGTCTCTCACCGCCAAACCGTACGCAATACCTACTCTCGCGTTTCTCTCCTGCTTATCATTACGATAAAATAATTCTCATGCCTCGTGGCTAGCGTATTTTCTTTTTCTTATATAGGGGTGACCCTCAGCACGATGCTATTGAAATAAGAGTGAGCACGCCTGACCGCAAAAACTGCAGTGCCCGCGAGTCCAGCTCTTATCACGAGCCTGCTGCTAAGAGGGAGTGGTAGTAATGGTAGGGAAGACACTCCTATTCCTACTGCTGAATCTTGGAGTTGAAAGTTGTTGCTTCTTGTTGTCCATAACAGTACTTGTTCGTTTTACTGCGAATTAGTTGATACATTTTTTATTTGTCCTAAGGTAACTTCTACTTTGGACAAATTTGATTTATCATCGATGATTGAATAATGGTCATTACCCTATAGTTTTTTTGGCAAAGCTCAGGTTCTACGTATCAATTTTGCTCAATTGAGATCAATCGTTTCGTAGAAAGAAAGATTAAATCTTTAATAAGGGACGAAATCAAAAAATCGGCAGTAGTTTATTTGATCAAGTGATTTCTGGTAACGTACACCAAGTCTATTTGCGATTTCGCTTCAAGACATCCACTAATACGGATGACCTAACAAAACAGATAAGAATAATGAAACAAAAGAAAGAAGCCGCAGAAACGAAGAAGTCGTTCGTTGCAAGACGGTGATTATACAGTAGAGGAGCACGTAACTAATCGCGCTCCTCATGAGATACAGCTAAGTACGTACAAGCTATTGAGAATTCAGTATCGATCTCTCGTAGAGAAGGTCGCTGGAATCAAGCGTACAACTATAGTTTTTTTTTTCTATAGCGGAATATGGTACATACTGCATGGTATGGATGGTGATTTACAGTTATGACAACCGATACCTATGATCGATCTTTACCTACTAGTGTACTACTGTACTTATGGTACGCTATGTTTATTCGTACGAGTTTTTTTGCTCGGATCCATGTGATGAGTGTTTGAAAAATAATAGTAATGGAGTTACAGGTTAAAAAATGGAAGAATTGAACGAGACGCAGGTGCAGCTGACAACGTTACATGGGATTGTTAGCCTTTACGATTCCAGGAAATTGGACTTTGATGATGCGTAGCTATATCAATTGACAATCGTTCTAGTTTGCGGTTCATCGTAAAAATCAATCGCACAGACGTTTTTACCGAGGCATCGTCCAGGGGAATTCCAAGACTCAAACCAATTTTTATTCAATCGTGAAACCTGATAAAGAAGATCCGTATCAGCGTGATGATATCTCTGAATTATAAACCCAAGTGTAATATTTGTTGTCATTCGTACAATAATGTAAATATAAATATTTATTCTGGAATAAAAATAAGAATCGTGAATTTTAATGGACTTTATCGATGAAAATTATTCATAACTATTCAATTAGTATTCAATCCAACAATACAAAATAAATGATTGAAAAACATCGTTTAGTGCGAAAATGTTTCATTTCAGGTTTAATTCGCTTACCATCGAAAACATTCATGTGCACATGTATATATACACACAAACATACAAGCACGAAGAAAGAAGGGAGATGAGAAATAGAACCACAGGGGAGCTGAACTGCATTGTTTTTCCTGCTACTGCACCGTTCATTGTCTTATGGCTTTACCCCTTTTCGCTACGGTGTTTCTCCCTCTACGAACAATTAGCTTAATAATTCGAAGTGCGCGTATACTCGGGAAAATTCAATGTGAGAATGAGCCCTGCAGCGACAGGTGCTGTTGTACAATGATGTACAGTATTTCTGAAAGAGAACTAAAAATGTTGTGTGAAACATGTACTCTTCAAATATTTGTTAGTTCGTTACATTGTATGTTGTTTACTGGATATAATTTTTGAATTTTTCGGAATCTTGAATGAGACCTGTTATTAAAAAAATATTGTGCAATATCATGTAAAAAATGGTAATAATAAATTATGAGAGTTCGAAATTAACTAGGTGCTATTAAATATAGCCTCAAACAACATTAGCGAGTATTGTTGCAAAGACGTGGGAAGAACTCGACTCGACACACCCTTTGTGATTCTTAGTTCTTTGGCAACGACATAAGGAACGCATTATCGCATCACATTTCGCTTCCTCCACCTCCTCGTATAACAATGGCTGCGAAATGAAGATCCAGCTTTCACTATGGCTGTTTTTCACTTAAGAAAATGTTTTGACTACCTTTTTCCGCGCAAAATTAAGTACATTGTTTTCTTCACTGATGTTTTTCTTAGCCTCTTAAAAGGTTCATTGTGCAGACTCTGTTTATTTTAGTATTTTCCACGATCACAGTAACATATTGTTGTTTCAGAATATAAGGATAGTGTGGGATGCTTATTTTATAAAATTTTTTACGTCACTAGAAGGACAACATTTTTTGTGTAATTGATTTCAATTCAACCAACTGAATGTTTTAAAGATACAATTTTATGATATCGAGTTGGTGCTGCTAAGTTGAGTGAGTAAAGCCAATGATGTTCATGTTACATTAAAAATGCTTTTATTGTAGAATACTTCGCGATAAAGTAAAATTTTCTTGGCTCAATGAAAGTCCTATTTAATTCTCTAAAGTAGAAGAAATTTACCGCAATAGATTGAATTTCTCAACAATTCTATTAGGTTGTTCCGCAAGGAGATGTAATCCTTAAAGCTGCATCGGAATCATAGTTATACACCTTAGTGTATTTATTTTTTAAATAAACACTATCAAGGTTTTCTAGAGTACATCTCTCCGTTATGAGTTAAACTCCTCTTGGATAATTATAATCTTATTAAAATCTATGAGAATCGCATAAAAAAGGAAATTTTAATTAAGATGAAAAATAAAAAATTAAAATAAATATCTCACAGCAGTCGTCGTCATCTACAATGTCAATGATGATTCAAGTAAATATCATTTGTTTCGAGTCAAAAAATAAAAAAATCACGCATATTTATACATTTGACAGCAAACCCGATTAAAATTCATGAATTTACCCAGCCGCTTCTCTCTGAAATTTCACGTACTCGTGATATCGGCCCCCGGAAGCGCTCTCATGACGCGCAAAAGCTCTAATCCGCCCTATATGAGCTAATAGTGCGTATGCTATGTACCACATTATACATAACGATACAGGGAACGTGTGGATTGAAACCATAGCCACGAGACTTTGCGTACGTGCAGAATAGAAAGTATTGACGGATGAATTATGACCTGCTGGTTGAAGATAGCTCAGTGCTAATAAGCTGGACTGTTGAGTACCCCAAACACTTGTACCAGAGTAACACAATCTGAAGAGTAGCCTGAACATAACTACCCTTGAATTTGATTCAATCTATAAAAATTTATCATCGAATGTAACAATATTGTATTGCGTTGCTTCATCACATGTGTGCATCTCGGCCTTAACCTTTTTATATCTCAAGGAATGCCTATACCTATGCTTGTAATTCATTTTTCTCGTATACGTTACCGTTTGGATTACAACTTCACCGAATGAACTCATAATCATAACACTTTAATGCAGCACATCGTCGACATTAACGATGATACTGACAACAGCCCGTGTACATACCAATAATAATTAGCAAGGGCTTCCATTTCGCCGAGACATCCGCGACTCGTCTTCCACCCTTAATTGATACAAGCCCATAACTACGTCACCAGAGCACATAAACCATAACAGTGAGCTAATCCATTCCAATTTTTTCACGGTAAACTCGCGCAGCCGGTGTTGGACGTAAAAGGCTCCCGAATCGCGTCTAATACCCCTTCGAGCGGGGGATGTGGTGCCATTATTGTCTATCCTGTCGCTCCCCGGCTCAGACACGCACACGCAAAACGATAAAGATTTTATAGGTGGCATGCACGAAATCGCAATTAGAAATATTTCCGCCGTGCTGAAATGCGTAGTTTATATCTTCACTCGCATGAGTCGTGATCGCTTTGCCCCGCACGCACGGTTTATGCCAGAAAATTTTACGAGGACGCGAGAATTATTTATATTGCATTTGCGACTACAACATCTATCTCTTTCGACCAATACAATAATAGGGTATCAATATTTATTTGTTTCTCGTTTCTCGTAATAATAAACCAAAAAAATCACATCACGTTTATTTCATACTATTGTCAATTTTAATTCCAAGCGAACGAAGCAACGCAAAGAAATTCGGAGCTACACCGATACGCTACAGCACCAATCGCCAACCTCGTAATAAAGCAATCATCGACGCTTAACGTAATTTAAAAAGGCCATATAAAAGCTGTAAATCCTCCCCCGTAGTCAGCACGGATGTAAATGGAAAGTCGAGCGAGAGAAGCGAGAGGCAGAAGGAGCGCCCGTGCTCGAAATTGGCAAACAAGCATAAATAACGGGGAACAACGGCAGCCAAGGCGATTCCGCATTAAGAAGTCGTAAAACTAATTAAGCTCCCTCTCTTTGGGTGTGGGCGAGCTCTCGAAGACTAAACAGTAGCAGTAGCAGCAGCAGCAGCGACGACAGCACCGACATGGCGTTGCGGTGGCGATAGCGGCGGCAGATCCGCGCTGAAGGGTTGATAAAGCTTGCCAGCGTTGCGCCTCGAGGGAATACGCTCGTCCCTCCCTCTTTCCCTCTTCTTCGCGGAGGAGATAGCACAGCTCGGTGACGAACGGGGCGATAGCCATGTATATATAAATTAACCCCTCGGTGCGTTGACGTTTAGATTAATTGTCCTAGGCACGCGTTTCCGCTCACGCTTATTGCATAATAATGCTGTTGCTGCTGCTATGCATGTATAGGGGGTGGAAAAGACAAAAAAGAAAAAAAAAAAGGAAAACCAGATAAGCGCGGATTAGGTATACAATGGGGATTCGAGATTGTCGCCGGCGTCGCGACGCTTATTAGGTGCGTTTTTACGGCAATGGAATGATTAAGGCGTTTTACGGCCTCATTTTATTTCTCGCCAAAGATTTATGAATTCATTTACGAGCTGAGGACAGCGAAACGCTGCGATGTGCTTTTCATTACTCAATTTCTTTTTCACGGTGGAAATGCGAAAATGAAATTCTTCTGAACTTCTACGGTCGTAATTTATTATTTACCCTTCGGAATCTGATGCGGAAATATTCAAGAAAAAAAAAAAAAAATCGAAGCGAGGTAGTTTGAGTGTTGACGAAATAACGCGCAAAATGAGAACAATGGATTATTGTGATGGGAAGGAATTCATGTTACCACCACCAGTGATTAGTTTTCAAGCGCGAAAAGAGTGCCACACGATTCGCGAATCTATGCAAACTTAGCTTTCAGTAATGACAGAGCGACACGTGCTATTGTCGTGAAATATATTGTGTTCGTATACACATGGGTGCTGTACTCCTCGGTAACTTGCGACTACGCATATGTTACATCTTCACTCGACTAGTAAGTGATATGTAGCGTAACTTATATCTGTAGAGACAACATGACACACTTGCCCAGATGCAGTAGTGTATCATCAATACATGAGATTTATAAAAGTCGTAAGGGCAAAACATATTGTTTATAAAAAAGAAGAGAGCGATATGTCACGCATTATGAAAAAAAGTTAAAAAAGGTCTAAACGATAATATTATGTGTATTTAGATAATAGATATCTTTTATAATTAATGAATAAAACGTATAACTGATGCATCGAAATAAATTGAAGATTTTATCTTTTTTTCTGCAATAAGCACCAAACTTGATGATAAGGGGAAATAGACGTATCTTATCAAGGCAAGACTTGATGTCAATATCAAATTTCTTGACAATGACTTTGCCTCTTGGTTAATTCAAGTATCAAATACGTGTTTAATTAATAGATACAATTCATTTGATTAAAGAGTTGACTGAAAAAATTTAATTGGATCTGATTACATAAATTATGATTTGAAAAAAAATTTCTGTCATGTAATGTACACCTGATAAAATTCTCAGTTGACGACGTAAAATCCTGCGTAGCTTACCTAAGGGCCATTTGATGTTTTGATCACTCATAAAAGATACAAACTGCTCAAGGATTTTATGGTGGAACCTTTCAAGAACTAGTGAAGGAAAAGGTGTTTGCCAGACGCTATCTGCTGATAAAAATGACCGATGCATTCGTTAAACTGGAACTGGAGGAAAAAATGCAACTCGAGCTAAAAACAAAATCCAGCCTCGAACAAGAAACTATGCGAATCCGGGAAGGAAGTGCAGAGCGCGGGAGGAAAGGGAGCTACTGCAGGCAGCAGTTGAAAAGTTTAACTACCTTACAGCTCATAACTCCGTTATTGCCTGATAGCGCTGTGGTACTCCAATCTCGTCGTTTATTATTTTCTTGCGCCGGTCAAGAGAAATATCGTCTAGACGCCTGCACTGGCCAGCGCGACAACGAGAGTCTGCATCCTCGCGTCGTGCTTTTATTTGGAGTATCGCCCTCCATTCACGCACGCGTATCTTTCTCTCTGCGTGCGTCGTTTGCGTCGGCGTTAAATTTTATTTTTGGCCGATACTCACGATTTATAGGACGACGTACGGTGAAACAGAGACTTTTTTTGCCCGCGAAATATCAATTTTCCTTTGAGAGGTTTATCGGACTAGTGCGGAGCGCTTTGGTACAATTATTCGGTTATTTAAGACTTTTTATTTCCGTGTGCGTTGAAAACGCCACAGCCGGATGTTTACGCTTAGTCTGAAATATAGAATAATTGTTTTTTTCGTTTCAAGAAATAGAGGTTAATATAAATTAGATTTTGGTTTTTTTCCACCAAACTTCATAACAAATAAGACAATAAATTCCACTATCGAGATTTTTCTAGCTGGCTCGTTTATCGTCGGCAGCCACGTAGCGAGGGTAAATATGACCTCGGTCTGAAAAATGGATTTGTTATATTAGTATATACAGAAAAGAGACAAAAGATATCGTCGTTGTCGTGGTCGCACATTTTTACGTCAGCTAAGGGCTGAAATGACACACGGGAAGAAAAATAAGGCTCTCACTAGTAAGGGGAGAAAAATAAGCTATTGTGAGCCTTGGGTAAGGACTCTCAGGTTTCCGCCTCGTTTTCTATTTCACGGACTCTGTTGACAAAAAGAAAACATCATAAAAATGTACTCTTTTGGAAGTGCATAGCTTTTATTGAAAAATCCAACCTACACTATGTCATGGATGTATAATTTTTTGTACTCATCAATACGCTTTTTTAATGATCTACCCATTTGGTATTTATACACTTGATTACAGTAGCCGTATTCTAATTCATAAATATCGGATTGGTTTTTTTAACTTGATTTGGTCGACTGAAGTGGTATTACAAAAAATAAACTCAGATCGTATCGATTAAAAATCGAATACCGTCCATCTATAGGAAACTGCTAAGCTTCAACGCACGAGTACAAAAGTTCAAATACTTCATAGCTGATCAAAAACATCAAACTCGACTGTCGAAACCCCCCCCCCCGCATGTCAGAGTTTCACAATGGAATGCGTTTCGGATTTCGGGCTCTCATAAAAAAAGAGAGACTCGAATCGTTTACCCAGACGATGGTCACTTTAATACACCGTTCGACAAAAAAAGAAGAGCCTCCACTTCTAAGCCGCTCGGAAAATCCCTTTCTTCGCTTCGGTCCCTCTCTCTGCTACCCGGGGCGCGAGAATCCCGCCTCCTTGTTATGTCAGCGGTTCTCGCCCCGGGATGTACCCCACTCGTGTACACGGCACTCGAGCTCAGGGTTGACTCCCTCCCTCGACATGCGGTCTGACCTCATACAGACGCGCCGAGTGTGAAAATAACAAGATGCGCTCCCTCCTTCACTTCCCAATTTTATTTATGATATCTCGAGAGTGGGAGGGAGGGAGAAGTGGTGCTAGGTGTATCGACTTGCTCGGCGCGGATTATGCGCGGGGGCACTTACACTCGCTCTTTTTTTACTTTGCCTCATGCTCTTTCGAAATCTACGATTGAAGCGCGCCCCACAAAGGACGCTATCGAGTTTTTTCCCCCCGAATTTTTCTGTTGTTCGCTGCGGGTGATTTTCTGGCCTTTTCATTGGTGTTTTTGTAAGCCAGCTTTGCTACCTCGGATATTGTTACATGATCATTATGTGTCATCGAGTTCTACGAGCAGCCAAGAGACAGCATCGTGTCTTTTATGTTCAATTATCATTGAGAGTAAATTTTTTTTTAAAACTGTCGTCGATTTGAAAAAAGCTTCTCATTACCAATTATAGATTCCTAAAATACACTAAAGGGTAGGTTGTGATTGAAACAAGTCAATTACAACTTGTGTAGTGTTGAAATTTCAATCATACACTTGCGTTACGCGCCCACGTCCTACATCCATGACAGTTTT